GAGGGGGGGTACATGAGGGGGGAGGGGCCAGACAGTAGGTACATTTTGGGGTGGGAGGTACATGAGGGGGGTGGGAGATCAGACAGTAGGTACAGTGGGGAGGTATAACTCTTCACTTACAAGCTGACCACAATTTTTTAAGTTCAAGTTCATTATTACTTTGAGCTGGACATAACTATCAGACTGATATGATGTCAACACGAAAATCACCAAATTTTAGGAGACTTTAATTAGTAAACCTTGTCTTTATAACAACATGTCTGATTGATATATATTGACGGGGAAATAAAATATAATGTTTCCCTCTCACACCCCACTTTCCCTGGTCATATATCTATTCAGCACCTCAGTAGAAAAATCAGCAGGAGGCTGTTCCAATTTGGTTTGATAAAATATTTATTGCCCTTGTTGTTAGAAAACACAATTCTTTGTATCTGCTTGATGTGTTTCATGTGAAACCAAGGGAAATGAATAATTGTATTTCCCTAAACACGGTAATCGTTGTATGAGATATAATGACAGGATTTGATAAAAAAAATGTAAAGCATTGTTCAGACGTTGTTAATTAAATATACCTGCTGTTATGTGTAAAAGCAAAGATGGTAAAACTATCTCCATTGACCTTGGCAACTGATATTTAACCTTGGTTACTCGTCCTTGACCTTAAGTTGCTAATCCTTTGGTAGGCCTAACTATTTATGTTCCGGAGAACCTCTCAAGGTTTGGTAAGTATGTTACAAGGCGTCCAAAAACTTTTTTCAGCTTTTTGTTTTAAATCATGGTGGAATGGCGTTTTCCCATAGAATATGGCCGTTTGTACTCTCTTCCACTATTTATTTTTACAGATTCCAAACAATTCATTAAAGAGAAAAACAAGGATTTGGTTGTGCATGCTCTTCTTTTCTGTTTGTAGATTAATTGAAAGGTATTGGGGAAACATTTAAAAAGGTTTCATTTTTGTTAAGGACCTCAGTAGATTGTGCATGCTTTTGATTGTTTTATCATCAATATTAAATATTACAATGAATTATTGCAGGTTGATATGTTTGAAACTGGGGAAAATATTAGACTCTAATGACTAAAACTGTGAAGATTTGAATATGCAGCATGGTCACTTTATCTATATATAGCTGATTGTGTGTTGCTTGTTATTTTATTTCTACGTGTTTTTACCCAATCTATTTCTGTATCGACACCACAGTTATTGGGTCTGATGCCTAGTTCTGTATAAATTAGTTTTATCATCTGCATGATATGCAGTTAATTTATCTCAACTGCAACGCTGATTGTGAACATAGCAATTCCCTTCATCCTTGCTTTGTAACTATTTAGCTGCAGCACAGATTTTGTTTCAATATTGAACACAGGTTTTGCAGAAAATATTGCCTTTAGGCTGCTTTGAAAAAGTTCAGGGCCTTTTTTATGGTGGCTGGTTTTTGACAGTTTGTCTCTTCTTTTCGTTTTTTCGCGATATAAATAAGGAGGCGAAGGAATGATAATTATCGCCCATCACCTTCAAGTTCAGGGGGCAAAGGAAAGAAATGAAGGAACGCTAATATCATTACTTAGTTGCAAAAGGATAATAATAAGCGTTCCTTCATTTCGTTGCCTGTCCACCGAGTGAAGGCGAATGAACAAAGAGACAAATATTACATTGCTCATGTCGCCTTCGTATTTTAGTTCATACGTTTGCATGCTATTTAGCTCACCATCATCAATTGGCGAGCTGTTCAAATCCTCAGGACTTAGTTGTTTTAATGATTCAATCTTCAGGATTTTAATTAAGTTTTAATGATACGTTCTTCAGGATTTTAATTAATTCATAAAAGAAACAACACAACATCAGTTTCCGGTTGTTCAAAACTATCATTGAAGTAACAATGTTGTTAAACCTTGGGTAGAGAGTCATTAATATTTAATGACATCATTAACTGTTAACTCATTAAACGAGTCATTAAATTGAACAACATTGTTAGTGAGCCAATAGTCAACCTGGCCAAGATTTGTTTCTAATAAAGTAATATTTAGTTAATGATTTTACTGATCCACTTTCCTCCTAGGTAAATATGAAATCATGCTACCAGTAGTAATTCACAAAAATGTTTGTGAGATATTTTCAAAAATCGCAGAATTTGTAAAGATCAAAAGTAAAGAAAACTGCCTTTTTACGACTAGCACTGTATACCAGGAAATATCCGCCACAGTTTAATTTTTGCCTTTTCACTTCTGTTAATGAAAAAACCGAACATATCAAGATGGTAAATATTAGCACATAACATAGAGTGAAGGACGAAATTGACTTCAGGCAAATAAGGATTTTACTAGTGAAGAGCAAATATTTAAGATGGTGGGGATTTCCAAGTTTGGTTTGGTTTGGTTTAGTATTGTTTAACGTCCTATCACCAGCTATGGTCATATAAGGACTTCCAAGTATATAATAATCAGTTATCTATGTTTATGGGATACTGTAGGTTTCAACAATCCCAGCCCATTGGTTATGGTAATTAGGTTATATTAATGGTCAGTGTGAAATAAGTTACATAGCATGATGTTATATTTTCCTACCTACAAAAAGTACTTTGTGTTACAGGAGAAACATGAGAATATCAAATCTTATGACATTTGATTATAATTTATATCCTTTCTTGAGTTCGTTATTTAATATTAATGAAGTCACTCAGGTGGATATAAATTTTAATCAGTGATGACGTCCCGAATATCCTCCTCTGTGTACTGTATCTGTCACAGTAACCTGTTATATTTGTGTAACTATATGTTAAATGGACGACTCCAATCTCTGATCTTGTGTTCCAGTCTAGGCTAGAGGGTTTGAAAGTTTAAAAACCTAGATACTGTATAGTTGCTATTATTCACGAGGTTTCAATTTCATGAATTTCGCAACTGAGTTAAAATTTGTGAAATTAAAACCCTCGTGAATATTTAGAGATTGTTGCCATCACATCCACGTTTCACACGTCTGTGATATCAGTTAACAACTATACAGTAACTTAAAAAGAGTAAAATAATCAGTTTCTTTCGAACTCTTGACTGTCTAACCTGAGGCTGCGTCGAGATTAACACATGTGTTTGATGTGAATTAATGAATTTTAGCTTTTTAATGTACATGTATATGTTAACACTATGGCAGTGTTATTAACAAAATTTCATGTGCGGAAATGCTTTTAACCGCTGAAAAAGACGGTTGAGATTTTTTCTGTCTTTTACTGACCCGAAATGTGGATATTTCTGTCGTCTCTAATGGGGGAGAATATCTAATTCCTCATTAAAACTCTTGTCTGCTGTTTCCAGTGTGGCGTTCACCTTTGGGATAATCACAGTGGTAGCTGGATTCGTTGGTGTGGCTCTGGGTGCCGAGATTTCACGGCGCTATAAGAAGATAAATCCACGTGCAGACCCCCTGGTGTGTGCCTTCGGTCTGATAACATGCGTACCATTCCTTTTCTTCGCTCTTGTACTGTCTCAATGGTATACAGTGCCGACATGGGTAAGTGCCTATTTTGTTGTGTCAGCAGGGTAGTGATATTCCTGTCTTGTTTTTGCAATAGAAGAACTTAATAAAGAAAAAGAAACAAAAAAGGTATGATTAATAAAACAGTTGTGTTGTCCTCAAAATTGCTACATAACGATACATGTACTAAGAATATTTAAGTTTGATTTCTTGAATATTAACAAAGCATGTGAGCTTTATTTTCGAAGAGAAAGGTATGCAATATCTTGACCAAATTACTTCATTTTCACTTTTCATGAACTTTTGTAAATTACAACTGGTGACCAGAACAACCATAATTAGAAACACTTTGAAAATAGTATCTGGGAAATATTTAATATTTGGAAAACGGCGAATTAACTCATCCACCCTGAAATTTTATGATGAACTATTCCAACCTTTAAATTAGAAGAGTTCAAATGAGTCTTCAGAGGTCAATGAATTAAACAGTTTGTTTAAGGTTTTGAATTTTGATGGGTCTGTAGCATATGTAGTCCTTCCTGAAATGCATCTAGATTTGTGCAAAACAGCCACGTGCACCATTAGCAAAGAATTTGAGACTGTTTGTGCAGGAAAGTGTTTCGACTGCAGCTTTTTCGTAGGAACATATTTCACTTGTATTGAACTCTAAAACAGAGGTTTCAATTAACTGTGTAGACATTGTTCAGACATCATTTATCCTCGTGTAGCCTTTGTTGAAATGATTGTTAAAATGTGTCACAGTAAACATTACATGTGTGTTGTGATGGGATACAAGTAGTGCTTTTGTTACCTAAATTTAACAACAGTCTGTTCCTTTATGAATCTGGAAAAAAGAGCATTCTTTGTATTGAAATTGGGAATATATTCCTCAGTTTTTGGTCTTTTTGGGAAAATATTGCACGTTTTAGGTAGGGGAAACAGCTTGTATTTGGCAGTAAAACTGAGCAAAAAATATCAATGAAGAAGTATTTCACATGATTTCTATACATTTCAGATCCTGATATTCCTTGGTGAGACCATGCTGTGTTTGAACTGGTCCATTATTGCTGATATGTTATTGGTAAGTTTATCCCTGTCATACGTGTCAAATTGGTATAAATGACTCGGTACAGACATTTGTATTTACAACCTTGCTCAATGGTATACTGTAAACCGAGAAATTTTCATCCAGTCAAATTTTCACCCTTCAACGGTAAATTCCATTTTTCAGCCAATATTAAATTTGCCCTTCATGATTAATTCCTTTGCATATTATGGTGTTTAGAAATGTTCGATGTATTTAAGGTCGAAAAAGGCGAACATTAAACTGCAGCAAAAATTTCCCCACAATACAGTAGTCAAAATGTATAATTCAGTAGCTATCTAACCAACCTTTCAATGGCCACTTTCAACTCCTCCTACGTTTTCCCCCAACCCAGAACCCCTAACCCCCAACATTGACAGAAGCATCTCACTATCTGTCTGTCAATGTAAGTTTTAAGTTGTAATTTAGTTGAAATAATGATTGTGTAAGGGTTCATATAGCACAGCCAGTGTAATGTTTAAGTGTGTCGTTTCGATGACTAGCACGAAATGTACCCTGACACCTTCATCAGACATTGTAACTTTACATAACCTGTAAGGGTATGTACATACACTTTGGTGTAAAATACTTGTAAGAGTTGGCTATAAATCTGACAAGTTGATTTTGCTACAATATAAGTATATGTACAGTCACTTGTTATAAATGATCAAAATGATGATCAAATTGACAAATTAATTCAGCTATGCTTTTAGCCTATATTTTCCCATCTGAAGAAAATGTTTGGAAATATGAAATGCTTTATATTGAGTTGATGATTACCAGTATATTATACTCTGCTGCTGTTCCAGATAAAATATTAACAGTCTATTTTGGTTTTCAGTATGTAGTGATACCTACGCGGCGGTCGACTGCAGAGTCCGTCCAGATCCTTATCTCTCACGCCTTTGGTGATGCCGGAAGTCCGTACATCGTAGGATTGGTGAGTCGGATAGACTGCAACAAAATTTCTGGTATAATGTAGATCCTGGACAATGGGTACAAGATACTTCACAACCGGGAAAATGTTTCCCTCATTGTAACTTTCGTCTTTTTCACCCTCCCCAATGATGTGCAATGCAGTGTCATTAGGTCACTGTGGCCTTTACCTCAAGGTCAAAGGTGAAAAAAGTCTGATCATTTCAAACATTTAAAGGTGTACGCCAAGGTGATGCCATTGGTCCCTGACTGTGTCTAATTTTGCTTTAACCTAGTATGCAAGTACATGATGGCATTGTAAACTCTATCCAAGCATAATTTGTGACTGTTGGGTCATTACGATTGGAACGTGTTTGCATCTATAATTTAGCAGTAGGCAGATCCTCTAATAATAAGGTCAAATTAATGCTAAGTTGAAGATATCCTGATAAAACTTGCAGTAAATCTGCATCACCCACAGACGATGATCAGTGCACTGTCGTTAGGTCAATGTGACCTTGACCTGCATGGAGGTCAAAGTTCAAATAAATGCAAAGTTTTCAGGAATATCTTGTCCGGGCAATAACTTTTGAACCATTAAAGGGGAGACAAATATATTTGTTAACAAAAACATATATCTAGTTTACTCTTTATACCTTCCATGTCACAGTAGTTTCCACTTTTACCATACTGAAGTTTTAGTGTAGACACCAGAGTGTTACAACATAAAGATAATTTAAAATAGTCTAGTGGTAGGACGCCAGGCTCGTGAAGGAAGGGTTGCGGGTTCAAGTCATGGCACGGTGTTGTGTCTTTGAACAAGATACTTTACTCCACTTGTTCCAGTCTACTCAGCTGTAAATGAGTACGTGGTTGGGCAGTGCTAAAATTGTTAAATGCTAGCTGTGAGCACCAAAATGGCAGCACCGGCTGTATGCTCCCCAGGGAGTTGAAAGATATTGGCTGGCATATTGGCTGGTTGCAAAGGCCCTATAACCATAGATAATAATAGGTGAACCGCTTTAAGATGACGTACGAACTAGGTTGTGATAAAGCGGTATATAAGAACAGCAAATTATTTTTATTTTTTATTAGCTCACCTGGCCCGAAGGGCCAAGTGAGCTTATCCCATGCCGCAGCGTCTGTCGTCTGGTGTCCGTCGTCCGTCAACTTTTTCCTTAAAAACGCTACTGGTCCTGAACGGCTCAGAGGATTTTGACCAAATTTGGTCTGGAGCATCATTAGCCAAAGGGTTCTCAGTTTTGTATAAACGAAGGATATGGTCCACCTAGGGGCAGAGGGCGGGGCCAAATAGGGGGAAAATAGGTAAATCTTTAAAAATCTTCTCCTTCTCAACCAATAGAAGGACTTTGACCAAATTTGTCTTAGAGCATCTTTGGACAATTCAATTCAACTTTATTCTCTTTCACAATACAATGCATAGAGAAACATATTTACAATATAAGATATAGTAATTGTAGTGTTCGTAGTCGGTAGTACACAGTACTGTTTCATAATATATACACATTTATATCGAGGAGGGCAAATATTGTTATTAATTATTCTAATAAAAGTACAAAGTTTCTTCAGTGTTTTTATATAAGTAGTATTCATCAATTTATAAAACTTAATTACATTTGGTCTCGTCCAATTTTTTTTGTCTATATATAAAATTTGAAACCCAGATAGTGACGGACACTCAAGCAAGTAATTGAATTCGTCACCAATTTGCTGACTGTTACAGTGTGGACATTTTCTTTCATTATACTCTATATTATGCCATCTGCCGATTTCAACAATGAATTTGTGATTAGTAGTCTTAAATTTACAAAATGTAACTCTATCTGTATCACTTAAAATATCGAAGTAATTTTCAAAATGACAAAGGAGACTCAAGTTTGTATAAACGGAGGGTGTGGCCCCTCTGGGATTTTGACCAAATTTGGTCTAGAGCATCATTGGCCAAAGGGTTCTCAGTTTTGCCTGGGGGCAGAGGGGCGAATAGGGGAAATAGAGGATTTTTTTTCTCCTACTATATAAGTGAAGGGATTTAAACCAAATGCAGTCTGAGGCATGATTAGGGACAAAAAAATCAATTTTGTTTAAACTGAGGTGTGTGGACCCCCTTCTTTGGGGCAGATGAGTGGGGCCCATTAGTGGAAATAGAGGAAAACATTAAAGATCCTTCTCCTTCTGTACCGTTGAAGGGGTTTTTAACCTAACCAAACTTGTTCTAGAGAATTTTTGGGCAAAGGGAATGGAATATTTATAAATGGAAGATGTGCCCCCCCACCCCAACCAGGCAAAGGAGCAGGGCCCAATAGGGGAAATAGAGAAAAATATTTTCCCTTCTGTACAAATGAAGGGATTTAAACCAAATGTGGTCTGAAGAAAAAAACTCAATTTGTTTAATTTGCATAAAAAGGTGCATGTAAGGCCCAATAGGGGAAATAGAAAATAGCGGAAAAATGGGACATAACATGGAAACTCATTTTCTTGGTGTCTTTCCCACCAAAATGGATTTATATGTAGTTCTTCTTGCAACTNTATGCTCCAAGGATTGGCCTTGGGGTCTGGCATATTTCCTTGGATCTCATTTGGAGAATATTTTGCCATGATTGCTTAGATATCCAGGTGAGCAATACAGNAATTCTATTGTTTGCATTGAAGATTTGGTTTCGTTACCAGAATGAAAAATTATGTGTAATACTCTAATTATGCCTTCGTGTTTGTAGGTGTCTGATGCTCTATCTAAAAACTACAATGCTCCCTCCAGTTCTTCGTATGTACAGTTCAAGACGTTACAGACTGCCCTCTACGTCACTCCCTTCATCTGTGTTCTCGGAGGAGGATTCTTCCTCGCCACAGCACTCTTCATAGAAAAAGACAAAAATGCTGCCTTAAAAATCACACAAGGTAAGCTTTCTGTCGTAAGTGAAGAAAATGTGGATGGATTGGAATCTTGTGGAATTAAGCTTGCCAGTTTTAATTCAGACCTTGAAAATCTTTTTCAAGGCTTGCCAAAAAAACAACATTTAATCACTAGGTCTGTCTCCTATTTCATACATGAAAACATCCCATCCCATCCCATCCATCCTTTTGGAACGCAAGAAATGAAAACAGCTTTGTGTTGCGAGACGTTGATTTGAAGGGTTTGATACTCTGTGTCGTTGTACTGGACAAACCAATTGTCTTTTTTGTGAGAAACAGATTTAGGTTGGTCAGGTGGAGCAGTAGATAACACACTCAACTTTCACCGAGGCGACCAGGGTTTGATTCCCTGATTAGACATGAAAAGGTATGGGGTCACCTGCCAGACCATATTGGTTTTCTTCAGGTATTCCAGTTTCCTTCATGATAAGACCCTCCACACATTAAAACCCTTGTCAACATGATCAATATAACAGAAGGGGTGGGGGTGG